TAAGATTGACTTATTTCCCTCGTAATATTATGACTTTAATCTTGTAATATTATGACTTTAATCTGGTAATATTATGACTTTAATCTGGTAATATTATGACTTTAATCTTGTAATATTATGACTTATTTCCCTCGTAATATTATGACTTTAATCTTGTAATATTATGACTTTAATCTGGTAATATTATGACTTATTTCCCTCGTAATATTATGACTTTAATCTTGTAATATTATGACTTTAATCTGGTAATATTATGTCTTTAATCTTGTAATATTATGACTTTATTCTGGTAAAATTATGTCTTTAATCTTGTAATATTATGACTTTATTCTGGTAATATTATGACTTTATTCTCGTAATATTATGACTTTAATCTTGTAATATTATGACTTATTCTCGTAAAATTATGACTTTATTCTAGTAATGTTATGACTTTATTCTGGTAATATTATGACTTTATTCTCATAATATTATGACGTTACTCTCGTAAAATTATGACTTTAATCTCATAATATTATGACGGTATTCTTGTAATATGACTTTAATCTTGTAAAATTATGACTTTAATCTCGTAATAATAATAATAAAAATCTCTGTGGGGCCCTAATCCTCTTTAAATTAGATTAAAGTCCCACAGTGTTGTTCCCTAATGCCACAGCTGTACGTTGTGCCTCGTGTGTATGTCTGAAGATCAATTTTCTTTCTGCGCTGTCCTTTTTTCCAGCGCCGGCATTGGTCGAACGGGGGTCCTGATCACCATGGAGACAGCGCTGTGTCTGATGGAGAGCGGTCAGCCAGTGTACCCTCTGGACATCGTCAGGACCATGAGAGATCAGAGAGCCATGATGATACAAACACTTGTAAGTAGACTCATCCCGTCATCGCTGCAGCTGTTCTGGGTTGAATCACGACAATAATGTTTTCTGTTTTTCTCTTTTTTCTTCTTCGCYCCGTCAGAGCCAGTACCGCTTCGTGTGCGAGGCCATCGTGAAAGTGTACGAGAAAGGTCTGTTCAAGCCGCAGAAAGCGGTCTTCTACCAGCAGAGGGAGAAGCTGAGCGACGAGAAAGGCGAGGAGGAGAAAGAGCAGCAGAAAGCAGGAGAAGGTGGAGATGAGACGGCGGCGGCGGCGGCGGCGGAAGAGGACGTCGCGGCGGTGGAGCTGCTCCAGGGAGGCCTGGACGAAGAGGACGATGACGACGACGAGGAAGTGGAGGTGTTGGATGTGGGAGAGGTGACGGAGGAAGAGGAGGAGGAGCCTAGCGTCACGAGCGCCACCAGCGTGACGAGCGAGACCAGCGCGAAYCCGGACCCCGCTCCTCCTGACGTCTGACCCGTCGCCGAGGGGATTACCAGAAAACGATCCCGGGTGCTGGAGGAGAAAACAAAAGCACTGTTGCACTTTACGCTGACAAAAACAGAAAAAAAGAAAGGGACAAACAAAAACACGAAMGTTACAAACAAGATCAAGCTAAACAAAAAGAAAAAAGAAGCCCAGCTGTGTTGAATAGGTACCGTTAGGAGGTGTTGTACGATCAGGGTAATGAAACTAAAGTAYGAGAGAATAAAATAAGGACGGGGAATCGCTGTAGTGCCATAAATACGAAGGGGAGGGGCTGCCCCTGTGGATGGAGAGCTCCCCCACCTTTTATATTTCCTTTTTTTTTTTACCTAATGGGTCCCCCTGTCCTCTTCTGATTGAGTCTGCCAGACGGACCTGCCTTTTTTTAGTGTCCTTTTAGCTGATAAAGAGATAAATCTTATCTTGTGTTTCTCACAGAGAGTATTTATTGTGTTTTAGTTCGTGTCAAACCCTGTCCACTGAACAAAAAAGAGACAAAAAGCTGTTTGTTTTCTTTGTGTGAGTCTGGAGCTTCATGCTTTCCTGGTTAGGTAGTAAAACAGTGTTACTCCTCGACTTTTATTTGATTTAAAAAAAGCGATTTAATTTATTGTAGCTGGTTTGGTTTGTCTGCGTTCTCGTCTTTTTTTTGACAAGTGGACACCCGGTCGTACCTCCTCACCTGTCGTTCAGCGCTGTGGAAAGTTGCCTCTTTTCATGCTTTGTGCTGCGTTTTTGTGCTCAAACACGTGAACGTTACACTGGAGACCACAGCCGTGGCTTCAGCTACAGTCGAAACGAGGCTGAGATCAGTTAGAGCAGCGAGCTTCCTGCTGAAGTGTCCTTGAGCCAGACACCAACAGCAAAACCCAGTAGATTTTCCTTTTGCAACTATTTTTTTTTTATTTCATCTTATTTTTTGCGTGTATCGCACCAGAAGGAAAGTGTCTCTGACCTGTGGTTCGAAGCTGCTAGGAGTTTTATGCGATCAGTGTTTTTTTTCTCTTTCCAAGATGTAAAGGTACTCGTTGCAACATCATGACAGAAAATTCACAATTCGGTTCGATACTTTAGTCTCACGGTTCGATATTTTTTCAAAAAAAAAAAAGAGAAATATCCATGCCCTTCTTAACTTGTAATTTATTTAAATTAATAATGAATATTTGTTTTAACCTCAAAAGCAGTTTTTAAATTAAAAGTTGCTGAAACAGCAAGTTTCTCAGCGGATCTGCGCTCGACAATGCAGCCTAGGTGGAGTAGTCGAACACAGATCCACTGATCCTTCAACACAGAGCATCTTCAGAAGACAAGCTGATGATATAAAATAAAATTTAAAAATCTGAATTGTTCCATTCAGAGTGTGTATTGAACAGTTCCATACAGATACATGTATTGCAGCCCTTTTAGGTAGGTAGGATTTTACATTTGTTTTATTCCTTCTCCTTTCTTTCATAATTAGGTTCAGATTCTCTCTTATTTATACCTAAATGTTTACACTTGTCCAATCCTGCCGTATTAGTTTATCCATACAGTCAAGCCTGATACATTGTCTGACTCAAAACTCCTGCCTGTTGGATTCAGCTGAGTGTTTACATTAGATGCGTACCCGCTTATCAGAATAAATGTAAATGCTAGAAAATAAAAATAAAACCAAAGCGCAAATAAAATGAAAGGCAGAAAGAAGAGGAAAAAAACACATTTGCCCCCATTATCTCAAAAATTTATTCAAATAATAATAATTTACAAAAAGAAAAGCTAAATAAAAACAATAACTTTTAGTTCATGATAACTTATTGGTTTTAAAGTTTGCGCTGAGTACCTTTACCAAACAATCCCGTGAACTAATCTCAGCCTCGGTTTTGAACGAACGTTAAAAGCATCTCTGGTTCTGTGACCTCACGTCAAACTTGTCGGTTGCTGAGATATGTGACTAAATCACCACCGAAACGAAAGGTCCCGTGGGCTGAAAACACATCTCACAACCAAATCTAGCTGTTTACTTTGATTCATCTGCTAGGAAAAATATATATATATATGAGAGTTCAAATAGGCAGCACAAACACAATGTGTATATTTTTTATTACTTTCATTTTTTAACTGATCTCCTGCAGTGTGATTTTAATTTAAGACTCTCGTTCTGTTTAAATCAAAGATGATTTATGAGTGATTAAAAACATTTTTTTCAGGTTTTAGCGCCATAAGGGTTTGGAACACTAAAGGTGGTATCTCTGGTTTGTGACTGTCTTCAACTCAACCTGCTTAAAAAAGGTTTAAGATGCCCGCGAAAACCCAAATATGCTATTTTGAGAGGAAATTTGTCACATAGATTCTTTGAACTTCAAAACTCAACGTGGTCGTGACTCAGTCAAGACGAAGACTTAAACGTGCCGTCGTTCTGGAAAATCCCCCGATGGATTCTGTCGCGTCGCWGTGCGATGCTCCCGTTAGAGATGCTTCTTCTTTGTTCGCTGCTTCAGTTGCTGCTGTGATTGGCTCCGACAGTGAGTTCTGCTGGGAAAAACCCTCCTGCTGTGAGTGCGCGTGGGAAAGCGTGCGTGAGAATATTCTGATTTGTTTTACTTCTGTACCTCTTCTGCCTCTGACATTTCTGACATGTTAGCTGTTTGGTTGGAAGAACTTCCTGTCTGTGAAAGTTTGTGACACAGACCCAATGTTTTGCCCCACCACCACCTCTGACTCTTCCATATAACAAAACAGACAATCCTGTTTGTGTTCAACATGATCCAAAGACTTTTGTGTGATACTTTTTTGTTAAATAAATATTGCCATAACAGTTTGGCGTTGTTGGCAGGATTTATTTAACAGAAAAAAAAAGAAATTTTCCCTCAGACCTTATTTTTTTTCTTTTTTAAAGAGCTGAATCATAATTTAGACACAAGTAGAGGTGGGATTGGAGAAGAGCCTCGGAGCTGTCGTTCTCTTGCTTAATCTCTCTTTTATTAAATCAGCCCAACATCCTTCAGTCATCTCTGCTCAGCCCACGCAGCATCCACGGTTCATTCTTCTCGTTTTTCTTTTTGTTTTTTTTTTTCCTTTCCTTCCACCCGGATGCCTCTTATTTGGATCCGCGGATCCCACTCTCTCTCTCCCTCGCTGCGCGGCCTCCGGGCGAACGACGCATCCAAGCAGAGCGTCACGGCTACAGAAAGCACAGTTTTTGTTTTTAAACGAGTTGGGTACCAGCTAACGGGTTTTAACTTTAGTTCCAGATGCTGCGCGTAGATGTGTGTGAGGACATAATTTGAAAGTAAAATACAAATCAGCTTTCGTGTTTTGATTTTTGGCTTCGACGCGACGTTGACAGACGCTGTAAAATCTAAAACGTGGCAACAACCTAAGCTCTAAAAACGTTGATATTTCAAACTGAACCCTGCAGTGAACAAAAGTCACTCATCATTCAGGGCTGCTGTAGTCTCCGTCTGCACAGAAATGGTACCGTTTTGACATTTAAAGGTACTGATAAGGAGGGGCAGGCTAACGTTAGCTGTATTTTTGTAAAAAAAAAATATCAGTTTTAAACAGGTAGGGAGAGGACAGCACTTTGTAGAAGGCTGAGTGGCAGGTAGTGCTACTGGAAGAGGAGGGGGAAAGTTTAGAGACGTAAAGCGTTTGTTGAAATGATTTTTTTTTATTTATGGTTTTGTGTTTGAAAAATGAGACACATGTAAAGAACAAAGAAAAAAACTAATAACACAGTGCCACTTGTTAATTTTGTGTAAATATTACTAGACCGTGTAAATATAATGTTGTATATGAAAAAAAAATCTTTAAAATAAAAAGGGAAAATCATTTGTGAGCAGAAAGATGTTTTTATTTTTTATTTTCCCGTTTTTGGATTATTTCAAATGTGACACGAATGCTGTGTAAACTTACGGAAAGTTTTTGTTTTATTTGAATCTATTGCAGCGAGTTTGTACATAATGAACCGCAGAATGATGAAACAGTGTTTTATTGGTTACCTCCTTACTTGTGTCTCAAGCTTTGTCCTCGGTTGCTCGTTTCTTTCTGGTATCATGGTTTTACGGTGCTTTGGACGTGTCTATAAGCTTGATTCTGAACAATTAAAGCTCGTCTGTCAAAGCATGGAGATGTGGCTTCAGATCGCCCTGCTTTTCCACACTGTAAAAGTGAGGTTGGACAAAACTGTCGTAGTGAATCTGGTTACATAATGTGTACAAAAACATACTTAAATTTACTAGTGCTCAGGCGATAATTGTATCGAAAGCCTAAAAAAATCCTTGAAAGAATGTGTATCACTGCTTTTCATGCAGTCATTTTAAACCATGATCATTTTATATTAAAAAGAGATGAAGTTCAAACACTGGAGTATGTGCTGAAGATGACCCTCAGGTACTACCACACAAAATTTAAGCTCAGTATCTGTAAAACTGATTGAGTCAGAGCCATTTCAATCAACCACTACAGTCATTTTTAACTGGTTTCTCCAAAACATAGTCATTTGTAGATGTACAATAATTACTTTGACTGTTTTATTAAAATCAGTCCACTGGTTCATAAGATATTTTGCTAATTAATGCTACAAACATAAAAAAAAAAACATTGTCTAAATGTCACAGGGAAACCCGTGTGTTTTATTATTTTAGGAGGCAGGTAAATTTTGTAGCTCTTCATATTTTTTTTAGCAGGAGAAATGCCAAATATGCATCTTTTAGTTGAAAAGTTTTGCAGAAATTGATATATAAAGTACTAATATAATAATACTGCATACATCAGTGGTTGTAGATCCCTGTTTGACACCTGTCCTAACCTCCMTGCCAAATGTCTAAATACCTTCAATTGACCAGTAGGGGGTGCTGTTGTCAAATAGAAAAAGGGTTTTATTGACGCGAGTCCATTTACAAAATTAGGTAATGTTTTTTCACTTTTATTTTAAAAACCAATATAAACCTAACATATACCTTATTAGTGTATAGCATTGGTCATATAACAC